GGGGGGGCTCGGGGGGAGCGCCTCCCCCCGAAGTCAAGCAAAGGTACTTGCTTCACTTGTCGTTGTTGGATTTATTGTTGCTGCTGTTGTTGTTGTGGTGGTTGAGCAAGTACCTTTGCTTTGAATTCGGGGGGAGGCGCTGCTGTCTCTTTTTCACACACTCCGCTTGACGATTGCGCACGTGTTCCACAACTTGGGGGGAGGGCGCAGCGTTTTTTTCAAGTCAAACTCGAGTGGAAGTGACAAAAGGAGGCGCTTGACAGCTGCAGTTTCGGAGGGGTAGGTATCTACAGGCGCGCGCGCCTCCCCATGCACATAGTACAGAAAAGGTTAGTGGATGGAGGTGTCGTCCAGCACAAGATGACAAATCTAGGTGAGACAAGGCAAGTCACTCCGCTTGACGAACACGCGCGGACTGTTTGAAAACAAAGAAAGCTGGAGGGGGGCTCGGGGGGAGGGCGCAGCGCCTCCCCCCAAAGTCAAGCAAAGGTACTTGCTTCGCTTGTTGTTGTTGTTGTTGTTGGATTTGTTGTTGCTGCTGCTGCTGCTGGTGTTGTTGTTGTTGTTGGATTTGTTGTTGGATTTCTTAAGCTTTTCCACCTGCTGCTGATGGTTGCGCCTGCCGCTGCAATGCGCTGGGCAGCCTTCGGCCGCTGGGGCAGCTGATGAGATGATGCTGATAGATGGCAGACGGCCAAGTGAGAGCGAACTTGATTTTTTTGTTCGGCCCTCCTTAGTTTTGATGAAGGGTGAATGTCACTCACTTCACCGATTGACCTTTTTGATGCTTGGCCTCAACACTGTTGATTTTGACCGAGCTTTCCTCCACCTTAGACCTTTTGGATGTTGAGGGTACTCCCAGCCGCTTGGAACGGCTGATTACCTCCATCCATGCCCATGCCTCAATACAGAAACGATCTCCAACAGGAGTCCGGCCTATGGCCGCAGGGCGGCGCTTCTCATCCGAGTGCGTGTGAAAGAAAGAAAAGTTGGATTTCTTGTTGTTCTTGCTGTTGTTGTTGTTGTTGTTGCTGTTCAACACGCGCGCAGGCGTCGCCCCCATGCATACAGAAAAGGTTAGTGGACGGAGGTGTCGTCCAGCACAAGATGACAAATCTGGGTGAGACAAGGCAAGTCTTCCAGTTTCGGAGGGGTAGGTGTCTACAGGCGCGCTGCCGCTATGGAGCCGAGCCGCGCAACAGCGTGACACCCCCGCGTCATCACGGCAAGTGGGCTGGCGCAGCGTGCTGGGTGGGCGCTGTGTAAGTGGTCCGAGGGGCATAGGCACTCGCAGGCAAGGGTCAAGGGTTAAAAAAGCAAGGTCAGGGGTTAAAAAAGAAAGGTTGGGGGTTAGAAAAAAGTGCTCGGGGGTGAGAAAAAAAGGGTCCGGGGGTTAAAAAAAAGAGGTCGGGGGGGTTAAAAAGAAAAGGTCTGAAGGGTTAAAAACAATTGTTTTGAAGGGGGTTAAAAAAAGGGTTGGGGGGTTAAAAAAAAGTGGTGGGTTTAAAAAAAAAAGGTTGGGGTGTTAAAAAAAAGGGGAGCCCTAAGAAACCCTGTCAGAACAGCCCAGGTCAGTTTAATTGGTAACACTTTGGATGGTGCCAGAAGCTTGATGCTGTCCCCCTGTCGGCTGAAGCGTCAGAAACCTTGGTTGATCAAGTCCAAACACATCTACATCAAACAACTTTTGTGATAGTGGCAACAGTTTTAACATCCTAAGAAGCCTTTGCGAAGCTGCTCCAAAACCACAGGAACACCATCCACAGCACTCGCATGCCGTATCCCATGTCCCGGCCGGGAGGTTAAAGTGTGGCACAAAGCTGAATGCACTAAAGGGCCTCGGTCAGTAGTCGCTGAAAAGAGACGGCTGCTGACGAACATATTCAAATGCCTCTGCAATTGGTCACAACAACTCCGCTGTTGACTTTGAACATCTTTGATCAGTCACTCTGGCAAAGAGAAGAACAACAACATATGTTGCATTCAGGTGCTTCATCGGCTTCTACATCTGCTCTGTGTCAATTTCCAGCTGGACCACGGCACAACCATGCACAAAAACACCATTGCTTTTTCCCCGCGTCAGTCTCTTTGACTTCCTTAGGACACCCGGCACTAGCAAGCAGCAACACGTGGCAGCCACGCGCGGTGTCCACCGCGGTGTCCACGCGAAAAAGCCACGCCCACCGTCCGTCCGACCCATGGCCAAACGGATGGGTTGGTCGTTGGAAAATGACGTTGTCGACAACGGACTGGGCTGGATGCTTTAAACCTGATCTGGATGCTTAAAAAGGCCTAGATCTTCACCTGGTCGTTTTCATCATACCTGTGAAATTGCCTGATATGACACTGTTTGCCAATGAATTGGGTTGGTCTACTGCATTCCGTGGAGAAGTGGGTGTCATTGTTGAAGGTCTTTTGCGGTGCTTTGTGGTCTAGTTGTTGTCGTGGTACCAAACACCTTGCAATATACTGCACCATCATCCACACCACACACCAATTTTCTCGTACAATCGGCGCTCTTGGTGGACCTGGAAACCAAAACAGCTGCCAAAACAGCCAAGTCTGCAAAACATGGGCGATCGCTACACACAGGTGGGGTGCCTGCAGACCAAATGAGCAAATGATTCTACCTTGGGGTGGTTGAAATAGGTGTTTCTGGGGCGGCATATATTCCAGTCCCAGTTACGGGTCAATGTCTGGGTAGGAACCCATGTTCCAACCCAGTGGAACATCCCTGAAACTTGGCTAGACCGCCTCCATCCAAACGGATCCAACCATCGGGCTCATGTTTCTTCTTTCCATTCGGAATCCCGAGAAGACCGGAAAAGAACACGACGTTCACATCATCTTTATCGGGTTCACCGCCTCGTTTCGGAGTGGGCCGTGCCCCCCTGTCTTTCTCATGTTTTTGGTTTAAACAATTCCATACGTTTTTTACATTCCCTAAGAATCCGGGCCCTCAATCACATAGGGGTTTTGAGGGTCCGGACCCCTGCTATGGAGGGCCCGACCCCTCCCCAAGGATTCTTAGGATTTATTTTGTTTCCTCCACTTCTTCCTGGGTCAACACGACGACCCGAGACCTCCGACTCCTCCCAGTGCGAAACCGGCCGCCTCAGGCCGACCCGCGCCAGGAAGGTCCGGCGGACGCCGGCGCCCCGCGCGCAGAGCAGGCCGTTGCCGATCTGGGAGATCGAGGCAGCGAACTCGCAGAAGGAACCGTTGTTGGACATGTTTTTCCAGGTGGGTCTGTGAAGAAAGAGTCGGTTTATAGGATTTATGATGTATACCTATATATGTTGTCGATCTTACTGTCAGTATACTACCAGGAAATAGTGGAGGGTGATGGTTGGTACAGACCTTTCTTAAACATTAGTGATAATTGTTTGCTGACTGTTGAAGGTAATAGGACATACCCAATACCTGCAGAATCCTGTATATAATATATTGCATAGAATCTTATTGACCCCTGTTTTGAAGCTAAAACCATGGTCTTTCCCTATCAAAACAGAGAGGTCAACTGGGTTCTATATAAATATTTATTATATATGCATATATATTATATATCAATATACTAGTTACTGTACAGGATCACCTTCCACAACAGCTTCATCTGTGCTTGCTATATCATGCTATATCTTGCTATGCAACTTGTTCATCAACATGGGGGGAAGAGAGTGCAGTGCTACACGGCCCCTTCTCTTGCACTGTAGGCTCTATGGCTCTGTGTTGGCTCTGTATGACCGGTGAGAGGGACGACCGGTCGGGAGCCGACATCGAGCCTTAGCCAAGGGCAACAAGCCTGCGGAAAGACACACACAAAAAACAACAACAAACAAACACAAAACTGCAGGATAAAAAAAAGCACATAAACACAAACGAATCAATATTCTGATCTGAACCGCCTCATGCTACAGTGGTGCAGATCCAAACTGCTCCAAAACTTCACTCTGCTTCTCCGTTTCGGGGTTCGATCGGGAACTCTGAGACTGCTAGAAGACGCCACTGGTGCGTCCTCGTCCCCGTCCACGACACCTAAGACCCCAGTCCCACTCCATGGAACCGTACGTATGTCTGCGTCCCACTGCCGGCCCGGTCCTGCCAGTCCCGTGTCTGGGATTTGTGGAGAACATCTAAACTTGAGATCTCAATTTTAGGTCACTTAGTCCATTTTTAGAGGTCACTTACAGACTCCAAAGAGGTCACGTACTGAAGGTTCTGATAGAAACCCTATATATGTTGGCACCTCGCACCCGTGTCCGCCCCCAAACTAGGCCAACCGTGCAATACGATGATTCCAATCCGCAAAGAAGCGACGAACCTGCGGCGGAGTCCGATGCGCGAAACGGGGAATCCAATGATGCATTAGCCTTCAAAGACCATTAAAATAATGGTTGACCTGATTTTTTAGTCTAGAATTAAGAGGTTGAACATGGTTGAACTCAGCACAACTCTTCTGTGTGTTAGTTTAGGTTTCTTAAGCCTAGAGAATCCTTAGTAAAACTAATGGATGTTTGATGATGCAATGCTGAACAGTCAAGCCTACCATGATTCAGGTGCTTTCGGATGGATCGACAGACCCTCCTTGTCGGGGAGGACGGCCCTTGGCAGGGATGTGGGTTTCAAGTCCCTAGGGCTCCAACCCCCCACTTCCTGAGGCACGGTGGGACTGGGGTGGGTGCGTTTGGGGGTTCAGTCCCCACCGAACCTGGGGAGATGAGAGAAGAGCCGTAGGGAGTATTCAAGAAAGATTTGGGGTTCAGCTTGGTGCTGCTGTTCATCCTGCTGGTACTGATTTTTGTTCAAAGAAGAAGCAAACCGCGCGCCAGCACACGTTAGATGTCTCCCTGCCAACCGCAATCTACAACCAAATGTGCAAGCACACACACATGCATTGCCAAGCGTAAGTCATGGTCTTCCAAAAGCTCTTGACCACTTGCAGCATATTGCAGCTCTTGACCCTTTTACTTGACCAAACAAAAGCATTTGGACACATCGACGTCTCTGCGCATCGCACCCTACGACCCGGTCCGGTCCGACCACGAACCTCCCATCGATCCTCTGGATCCCGTGTCCCGTCCCGCCTCCCTGTCAGTGGTGCCCACACGCAATTCCCCCTGTCGCGGGTCGCGGAGGAGTGTTCTTCTTCTCCAATAAGCTCGAGCTCGGCTCGTATTACAGGGGATGCCATGCTGAGAGCTCTTCACTACAGTGATACAGAGTATGCGGATGACCGTCACTATGAGTACTTGGATGGGGTCAAGAATAATCAGTGGTAGCGGTAGGGAGGTGGGGTCAAGTCTAGAACTAGTCTAGAAAAGATTCAGCATGTGGGACAATTATATACCTCTGATTCCCAGGGGCGAGTAGCTGACGCGAACAGTCCGCTCGTATGTCCGATAATTATATACCTCTACAACATGGTATTTGACAGATTTGGTCGAATGGCCAAGCGGAGTTTATCAAATACCAACGACATCCAACAAAATGGTGGGCCCACCTCCCAATCGGTTCAGGGTTGTTGGTTTCCATCCAGAGCCTCTGGGCCAAGAGGTCTACCACCTTGAGCAAATGACAATGTGGATTCAAGATGATGCAAGTACATCCAAAACATTGCAAAACAACATGTTTGACATTTATTTACATTTATTGACCGTCTCCAGTCCTCCTAATACCTGACTAGTACTCATTCAGCCCGTGGACAACCTCGGCTTCATGACTAGTGCTAGACTACCACACCCCGGTGTTTGCAACAGGGTTTCCTCAATTGAACCAATTCAGAAGTAAATAGTTTGTTCTTGGATGTAGTCTGCGAAGGCTCCCACGTTCCGCTTAAGACTTTCAACATATCGCCGTGCCCGCGGCGATACGCGCTGATCTTCTTGTTGAAAGAGCACTTCCAGGAAAGAAAGAAACCAAAGAACCACGCCAAGCACGCCATTCAGAAACACGTCAATGACACCGCCTCCAGGATTCGATCGTGTCGGAATCATATGGGTGTGCAAATCATGTGTACCCTAGAAGTCCAAAGACCGGCTGGAGTAAAGGAAGTTTCCTTTCAGTTCCCTTAAAGACCATTCTTTTTATAGTCTGACCGACTCCCAGGGTGAATATTTTAAATAGAGACCACCAACAATTGGGCCAGGCCAAGTCCTTTTGCCAGGGAAGTCAGGCTCCATCGCCGCTCCCAGAACTAGTGCGATCCCGGATCGAGAAAACCCACTGATCCCGGCGCCTCAAGCAAACTGAGGCGGCCCAAGTAAAGACCTTCCGAAGCACAGGTCACTGCCATGTCTTGGACGGGTCCTCAGCAGGTCTTGGGCAGAAAGTCGTTTGAGGTGTTCTTGAGTTGCTGGATGAAAAGAACTTCTGCATTGTTTTTTTTGTTTTTTTTTCCGATCGATCGATGTGATTCTTTTTGACAGCTTGGCCCAACAGTTGCGTGAAATGAAACAACACGCGCGGCCTCAATGCACTTGAAGGTATACATAATATGTTCCGCTGTAAAATAGTCTTCAGTCCTCGTTCCGCATCTGCCAGCTCTTCCTGCACAAGAAAAAAACAACACCACCACCAAAGCAAAGCAGTTGCCAGCAACAAACTCACCGGCCAGTGTGTTAGTGCCTGGCCACCAGGTTGACTAGCGTCAGTGGGCTAGTTCCTGGCCAACACCAGGGTAACTGATGCCGGAGTGCTAGTGCCTAGTCAACACGTCGATGCACCCACACAACGCCAGAACTGCTTCGCTGCCTTTGAGGGCTCGCCCTGCACCAAGACCGCCAGAGAGGCCTAGCAACAGCAGGGTGGAGGGCGCCAAGAATATCTAAGAATAACTATAACTATTCATAACATATCATAACTAATTGACAGAACAATACAGAACATTCTAAAATTATCTACCCCCGATTCTTGCTTCAACTCAGGGGTACACCATAGTCGATTCTGCATGTACAGGCCACAGTGACTGCTTCTTTTTGGTCAAGTGCTGACATCCTAGAGATATGTTGGGTATATTATCCCATTCCCAGCAACAGTGGTTGTTGATAGATATGTTGGAGGCCTTTCCCAAGAATAGTGAACGTCTTTTATTGCCGGTTTACTGGAACATAACTTAACCCACTTCATCTCGCGTATTTCACGTCGCGCCTCAGCGGCGGGCAAGTCATCACCTGCTCCATCATGCCTGTGCAGGCAGCGTGGGACCCGTCGCTGCTGATGGGGATACCCGACGATCTCATTGG